ATATCAAAGAGATACATGATGTATTCAATCATGTAATTGACTTACCTCTGATTCAATGCCACCATGTCCTCCGCCCCCGATGTGCTATTTTTCTGAAAAACCCACCTCAGGTCCACCTTCAGCTTCTCCCCACAGTCTGCTTTCATTTACTCTGTTTGGGGATGCTTTTCTAAGCAATGTAAACCATCATGTGATGCCAACACAGTGTCTTTGTGCATCTTAATGGAATAACGTAATTCACCCCTTTCCTATACTCCTTAGCCAGTGCTAGAAGCATGCTCTGTGGTTGCTATGTGTCAGGGCCGGACTGGGAGAAAAATTCGGCCCGGGCATTTTTTTAACACAGCGGCCCACTAAAAAGGGGGCGGGGCAGAGGAGGTGTGTTTTGTCATCACCAATGACAAACACGCCTCCTCTCAAAGTGAGCATGTTGGTTCAATGCTCTTCCAGGGCAGACCATGCGCAGAGCTCTGCTGAAGAGCTCTAGCATGAGAAAAAAGTCCTGTATTTGTTCTGCACAGTGCAAGCAAATTTAATAACATGCTTGCACTGTGTTTCCTTGCAACTTGTCTCTGGTGTCTATAAATGGATACCAGGAGATAAAAGGCCAGGAAAGAGTATTGTGCATGTATTTGGAGCCTGCTTGTGGTATTGCGTGTGTGTAGAGTGAGCTGGTCGTGGTGTGGTATTGTGTAATAAGGTCAGTTTTAGTCGTGTTGTGTTTGTGGTGTAATGTGATGCATATGTGGCTATGGGCTGTAGAGAATGTGTGTATTGGGGATATAGCAAGTGTGTGCATACAGGCTATAGTGTGTGTGTGTTTAAGGGTGTAGTATGTGTTTGCTTACAAGGAATCTAGTGTGTGTATAGGGGATCCAGAGTGTGTATGTTAAAGGACCACTATAGTGCCAGGAAAACATACTCGTTTTCCTGGCACTATAGTGCCCTGAGGGTGCCCCCAACCTCAGGGACCCCCTCCCGCCCGGCTCTGGAAAGGGGTTAAACTTACCTTTTTTCCAGCGCCGGGCGGGGAGCTCTCCTCCTCCGATCCGCCCCGTCGGCTGAATGCGCACGCGCGGCAAGAGCTGCGCGCGCATTCAGCCGTTCACATAGGAAAGCATTTATAATGCTTTCTTATGGACGCTTGCGTGCTCTCACTGTGATTTTCATAGTGAAAAGCACGCAAGCACCTCTAGCGGCTGTCAATGAGACAGCTGCTAGAGGCTTTGGGGGAAGGCTTAACCCATTGATAAACATAGCAGTTTCTCTGAAACTGCTATGTTTATAAAACAATGGGTTAACCCTAGAAGGACCTGGCACCAAGACCACTTCATTAAGCTGAAGTGGTCTGGGTGGCTAATGTGGTCCTTTAAGAGTGTAGTGTGTGTGTGTGTGTGTGTGTAGATGTATATATATTTGGAAGTATTGTGTATGTGTGTGGTGCAGTGTGTTGGGGGGGTTCTGTGTGTATGTGAGAGGTGTGGTGTGTGAGTGATGGGTGTGAGAGTGCTGTGTGTCAGTGATGGATGTGAGAGTGCTGTGTGAGAGTGCTGTGTGTCAGTGATGGATGTGAGAGTGCTGTGTGAGAGTGTGCTGTGTGAGAGAGTGCTCTGAGAGTGCTGTGTGTGTGAGTGCTCTGTGAGAGTGCTGTGAGTGTGATGGGTGTGAGAGTGCTGTGTGAGAGAGTGCTGTGTGTTATGGGTGTGAGAGTGCTGTGTGAGAGAGTGCTGTGTGTGATGGGTGTGAGCAGGGGTCAAGTCCTGGGGAAAAAAGTGTGGGAACTCACCCAAGATTCCCGCCGTCCCCCGTCCCCCCCCCTTTAAAAAAAAAAAAATTACACTCCTATGCATATAGTGCAGTGCAGGGTGTGTATAATGAATGTAGTGTGTTTGTAGTGAATGCAGAGTGTGTATAATGAATGCAGTGTGTTTTAGTGAGTGCAGAGTGTGTACACTGAATGCAGTGTGTTTGTAGTGAATGCAGAGTGTGTATAGTGAATGTAGTGTGTAGTGAGTGCAGAATGTGCATAATAAATGCAGAGTGTGTATAGTGAATGCAGAGGTGTATAGTGAATGTAGTGTGTTTGTAGTGCGTGAAGAGTGTGTATAATGAATGCAGTATGTGCATGTGCTGGATGATGTGTGTGTGAGTGCTGGATGATGTGGAGTGCTGGATGATGTGTGTGTGAGTGCTGGATGATGTGTGTGTGTGTGTGTGCTGGATGATGTGTGTGTGAGTTCTGGATGATGGGTGTGTGAGTTCTGGATGATGGGTGTGTGAGAGTGCTGGATGATGGGTGTGTGAGAGTGCTGGATGATGGGTGTGTGAGTGCTGGATGATGGGTGTGGGGGGGGGGAAGCATTTTTTTCTTACTTTATGTGTTTATATTTGTTTATTTTATCCCCCCTCCCTGCTTCTTACCTTGTCAGGGAGGGGGGAGATCGCCTGGTGGTCCGGTGGTATGCTGGAGGGAGCCAGCCGCTCGCTGCACAGAGGGGCCATCACGCAGTGTTCCCTCTCCAGCTCTAACTCTCGCGAGACTCGCCTGTGCGGAGCGTTGCCATGGTAACAGCCGCGGGTCTCGCGAGAGTTATAGCTGGAGAAGGAACACAGCGTGTGCTGGGAGCAGGGCCGGTCCTGCAGGACAGGTAACGGGAACGGCGTTCCTGCTTTGGAAAAAGTGCAGGAACGCCGTTCCCATGCGTTCCTGCAGGACTCGAGCCCTACTTTTGGCTGAAAAACTAAACTCTCTACACCCTGTGGGTAGGACTTGCTCCATACTTTGTTTCTTCAGATAAATGATTGGCCAACCCGAATTTAGGAAGTAAGTTGGACTAAACATTTATGAAACAAGCCCACCTTGATGGAAACAACATTCAAGTACACACCACACTCAGATATCCACAAAAAACATACAATACAAAGGCACACATAAAAACACACAGTTACAAGTAGATACATACAGACACACATTGATCCAAATTATAGATATAAACACAAATAGAAAAACACTTACACAGATATACAGACCCACATACAATATACAGTCATACAAATAAACTTACAAAGACACAACAGTCAATACACTCACACACGTAGATACACACTTACAATCACACACAACACATGTGAGAAGAAGTATACTTCAAAATGTTAAGTAAACCACAAGTTTACCAAGCTTTAGCCATTATAGATATTCAACTCAAATATAACTGCTTGTGTTGATGCTCCCCAATGTTAACCCCATCTCCTCAAATTCAGCTTATTTCTCAGTAATTGTACAATGCTGCAGAATATGTTGGTGCTATTTAAATAATAATAATAATAATAATAATAATAATAATAAAAACACATTTTGTGCTCCATCCACTACCTATAGGAGTTCTAGTTTCTAAATATCTGGAGTGAAAGTTACTTTCCCTCTCAAACAAGGCATTGATGATGTGTGCCATCATTTGGCAGGCAGTAGCCAATCAATTGACTGTGCTGGTGGCCATTTCAAGCAAGCTTCTGCTTTCAGTTCAGAGCCTGAGGGAAAAGAGGCATTGCTCTGTAATAAAGCAGAGGCATTGTTTCTCTGCCATACCTAAGTACCATCATGGGTGTTGCACTCCAGAGTATCTGCAGTATCAGAGGTAACCTTTCATCAGTCTAGCAGAAACCTTCACTGTCTTGACCTACAGCAATTCTCCACCAGCCTCTAATCTCTCAGTTTACCAAATTCAAACCTCACCTACACTAGCTCTGCAACCTTATTCTCCTCTAGACTAAATAACCTGACACCTCCTACCAAGGCTACTATCATTCATTTTGGGACACCTTACACAGCTCAAGCCCTTTGCCCCCGGAGTCCAACCACAGTCTGCCCACAAGGATAAGTAAAGTGGATGCAAGGTGTGTGAATGTGTATAGTGGAGGCAAACGTGTGTGAATAGTGGATTCAGAGAGAGTGGATGAGGAAAGTGGATACAATGTGTGTGTAAAGTGGATGCAACGAGTATGTTTGTATAGCGGATGCAGTGTGTGTGTAGTGGATTCAGTGTCTGTGTTTGTGTAGTGGATGCAGTCTCTACCAATACTTCCACCTCTCCCTCTCCTCTGTTATATTTCCTCCACCCTTCAAGCATGCAACCAAAACCCTGATTCTAAAGAACCCCATAAAAAACACCAACAACAGCAAAACTAAAAAGCCAACCTCGACAAAAAAAACCCTATCCCACTACTGCCCCACTAATACTACATTTGTATCCAAGATCCTTTGGAGAGTATACAGGCCGACCAACTTTTTTAAATTTAACTGTCTGCTTGACCTGCTTTTCATCTGGATTTTGCACTCAACTCAGTTTGCCAAAACAGCCGTGACCGAAGTATCAAATGACTTAGTTGCTGTTAAATCCAGTGGTCACTGCTCTCTACTAATCCTCTGTTACTTTCAACACCATTGGCCATGAATTTCTTCTTTCCATCCTCTGTTATTAAAAATAATTATGTCTCTACCTGCTGTCCCTGTATAGTAATACCATTACCTGAATCGCTCACCTGTAGTTCCTGCGCAGTATCTGCTTTGGCTGCTCATGGCATAGTGCCTGTGCTGCCTCCTCCTCTCTCTCTCTCCATGTTGTAGCTTGATGTACACTGGGAGGAAGTTAAGTCTTATCACGGTCATACAAGGTAACACCTCTCTCTGGTTGCCAGGTATGTGGGCCATGTACCAGAACCTTTTTAGTTAGCAACTATGCAATGTAGATTAAATCAATGTATGCTTTTTTATTTTTTTATTATTATGTTTTTGCTCTATATTTTACTAGGCCATTGAGACAATGGTCATAATAGTGACATCTATTTATGAGATTAAATATATTATTTCCAAGTACCAATAAACATGTATTACACTTATTGTCACAGATGGACTATATACTCTGACAACCAAAGATGGAGAGCAGTACCAAACCTTCTGTGACATGACCACCAATGGAGGAGGATGGACATTGGTGGCCAGTGTACATGAAAACAATATGTATGGAAAGTGCACAACAGGAGATCGCTGGACAAGTCAGCAGGGCAATTCCGCTAACTATCCTGAGGGTGATCACAATTGGGCAAACTATGCCACATTTGGTAATGCTGTTGGAGCAACTAGTGATGACTACAAGGTACCAAACATTATACAATTCTCTGAATGGTTTTGGGATCATCCATTTTCTTATAAATGTAGCCGTCGTGAAATTAAGAAGGCACGGCTAACAGGGTTTTAATCCTTTTTATGTTAATATTGAGGTGTATGGCTAGTGATTTAGAGAGTGATCTTCTGGGTTTAGAATGTCAAAATGCAGAATTAGAAGCTGGTTGCATCATTTCAACATCCTGCTCATTTATGTCTACATTTGCTTTCTTTAACCTATGGTTTTAAAGCCAACCTTATATAAAATATCAGGGAGAATTTTTTTAAAAAGCTGTAAATGAATGGCACAGGGTTTATCATCACTCACCTGATGCTATAGGGATAATGCCACACAATCTGGAACACCACTTTCAAGACAAATATATAGAGAAGGAATAGCCATTTAAAATATAAGACCTATTGACCTATTGGTGGTAAGGAAAACATATTCACCTTTCCAGTTCAAGGTTTTTTTGTTTAAGCTTTGGAGTACATGTTGACACAGATTCCAATCCAATCTTTAGGTTCATGTCCAGATAAGGTTTTTCATGCAATCTCGTGCATGTCTAGATATCGATTTTAATAAAGTATAAACAAACATGTGACATCGCAAATGGCCCTTTGTAGAGTAAAGTGGTAGCCCACTGCTCCTGAGCCTCATGCCACAGTCAGGAACTGCAATCCCTCAATAGTAATTTAGCAAAAATTGGATGGTCTCAAATGAGTGTGAATAGTGTTTGTACACACAGGCACAGGTATATGCAATGTTTCGACTTCTCCTCCTTAGTCATGCATAAAGAACACCCCCATACACCATACAATACATAGCAAAAATAAATAATGACATCAATTAAACAATCTTATGACATGCTGTCCCATGTTTGCAAATTGCCAAATGTAGGTAGACAACACAATCTACAAAACCATAGTGAGTTGTACAGGCTGAAAGCAAGGGCGTCCCATCCTAAAGAAATAGCAGAGGGAATTGCACAGCATATTCTTCTCGATATGGCATATAGTGAGTGGCAGGTACCTGAATATCAGGACAAAATAACTGCAGAGATGGATTTTAATCCAATGTTTGAGTTCCTTCTCAGATATTCTTTTTATTTACTCTTGAATACTCTTTTTTTAATGTTAACTTAGTGTGCATATTGATACCAAATTATGTCTCATCTTGGGGTTCATAAAAATACATGGATTTATCTAATCGTTGGATTCATATCAATATAGGGGTTTATCTAATCTTTGACTGTATAGAGTTATGGGGGTTCCATACCTCCCAACATTTCAAATGGAGATAGAGGGACACTTTCATTTTAGGAATGTGGGTGTGGTGTGACCAGGGTGGGTCTTTTCTGAGAAAATGCATGTGACCCATCAATGATAATTTCTGAAAAAAAAATGTAAGTTAGAACAATATACATATACATCCTATTCACATAGGCTGGTTTTCTTAACTCTTATATATAATTTAAAAGCACATTGATGTGAGTATTCTTGCTGTGGAGCCATGTTAAACATCCAAACACACCAGGTGATTTTACAAACAGAATTATAGGTTATTACATTCATTATTACACCCAAGGGTCTCTAGGACTTGCGATCTAAACATGTTTTCTGCTTGCTAATCAGATTGTTCTGTAACTTTTTATCCTGTATCCTGTAGCCTGGTTTAATGAAATAATTACTATTTCCCAGAATCCAGGATATTATGACATATCCTCCAACGACTTGGGTTTGTGGCATGTGCCTAACCTGACTCCACTTTCTCAATGGAGGGACACAGCTCTGCTGAGATATCGCACAGAAAATGGCTTCTTGCCCACAGAAGGAGGAAACCTTTTCAACTTGTACAAGGTACAATATAGCTCCAAAACACATTTGAACTTCTCAAGATGTGTACATTTATTTACACGTCTAACACGTCTGCAACTATCAACATTTTATATTGAATTTATAAAGAAAACTATATTCCCGATGATGAAATCATGCTTGAGGAATTTAAATATAATTTAATCAACTTAAAATTTCAAACTAATTCACTTTGAATTCATCACATAAATCAGAAAGATTTCTTCATTGAAACATATTGTTTAATAAATTTATAAAATAAAACTATATTGTTATTATATATAGTATATTTAGTCCACCGCAATTTAATGTTCCATGACTTAATGGCCTAGAATTTTGATTTTACTTTGAATGCCTGATAATGAACAATTTTAGTATATAGTCTCATGAAACTTGAAGATAGGAGATTTTGCCTACTGAATCAGAAAAGTAACTTTACTGAAAAGAACTGTTAAATTAAATATATTATGTAAAAATAAAGTTCGGAATATATTTTAGGCAAAACATAGTATATGTACTATTTTAGCAACACTCCATAGACAAATGTTATATTTAATTAATGTATTCATTATTTTTCACAAACATGTACATATACCCCCCCCCAAAGAAAACTTGCATGCATTGTTTTCTGCATATTGTATTTGATATATGAAAAAAACAGTTTGCAAAAGCTGCAGATCTGTTGGTTATATAAATCAGAGGCTACTTATTAAGAAGCCTCTGTGCTCAACGCAGGAGCACACACATGCATGCACGCACGCACACGCGCACACAAGAAAGTGGTTTTCCTATTCTTCTCTATGAGAAAGAGTCAAGGCAGGCATGCTCTGGAAATGTGTGCCTGCCCCTTCTATTAGCTCTGAGGAGCTAACAGGAGTGGAAGAAAACCTTTATGACTGTCTGAAAATGGCACTTTTATAATCTGTCTAGAAAATGCCAGATTCCAGATGGCTAAAGCAAGTCAAGGTGTGGAGTGTTCCTTTTACATGATCATTGTCAACAGCTTGTTAATAATGATCAGGTTAACAACTTGTTAATAATGATCAGGTTAACAACTTGTTAATAATGATCCAAGGAGAAACTTTTTAGCAATTTTGGACACAAACGTTTTCTTTTCTATTTCTGGGGCACAATTGAAAATTGCTTTCAGTGATCATACAGGGGGCACATTTTTGCATCTATGGTGGTATTGCGATAAACTAAAAAAAAAATTGGGGAGTTATTAGACTAATTTTGAAAGAAATGAAATTGCCACAATTAGGATTTAACCCAGAATCATATCTACTACATCTTACTTGGCTTAGAAAGAATAAAGTAGGTACTTTCAGGATTATACACATATTAGTTGCAGCCAAAATAGCCTTAGCTAATAGTTGGAAAAGCCAGGAAATCATATATCTTAGAAATACAAAAAAAACAATTAAGGATGGAAAATGATTTCTTATTTAAGGATGATTTATAGCAACCAAAACAAGGACAGAAGGTGCCTGTAGCAAGTGTGTTAAAAAATGATAAGCTTAGAGTCATTTCTACAACTGCTCGCAGTTTAGGGAATAAGATCCATGAACTTGTGGCAATAATGTCAACTGATAATGTAGATTTAGTTGCTGTTACTGAGACATGGTATAATAAAAAAAACAACTGGGACATAGCAATACCAGGGTACTCTTTATGTAGAAAAGACAGGGAAGGCAAGAAAGGGGGAGGGGTGGCCCTGTATGTGAAGGATAGCATAAAATCTAGCCTAAGAAAAAAAAGTTAGTGAGGCGAACATAGAGTCCGTTTGGGTTACGTTAGAATTTGGTAATCATACAATAACTCGTGTAGATGTGATTTATAGGCCCCCAGGACAAATTGAAGAGTTAGATAATCTACTAGTTGAGGAAATAGCTAAAATGACAATGAAGGGGGAAGTTATAATCATGGGTGACTTTAATCTTCCTTGATGTGAATTGGAAAACCAAAATAGCTGCTTGTGCCTACTGGGATTGTCTCTTAAACAAGTCGTTGAGGAGCCAACTCGTAAAGAGGCCATACTAGACTTAGTGTTAACAAATGGAGATTTGGTATCAGGTATTACTGTAGGTGAAAGTTTAGGATCCAGTGATCATCAGTCAGTGTGGTTTACTATAAGAACAGTGACTGAGTCACACCACACAAAAACAAAAGTTTTAGACTTTAAAAAAAACAGACTTTTCTAAAATTAGAATATGTGTAAAGGAGTCATTATCAGACTGGAGCAATTTAAATGGAGTCCAAGAAAAATGGGATTATTTAAAAGTTGCACTGCTGAAGGCAACAGAAAATTGCATTAGGCTTGTCAGTAAAAGCAAAAAATTCAAGAAACCACTGTGTTACTCCGCAGATGTGGCCAAAATAGTAAAAAACTAAAAGTTAGCATTTAGTAATTATAAAAAAAAACAGAGTGAGGAAGACAGAATGATCTATAAGATTAGGCAGAAAGAGGCTAATAGCTTCAAAATCACACACAGAAGAGAAAATAGCACGGTCAGTAAAAAAAGGGGGACAAAACATTTTTTTAGATACATAAATGAGAAAAGGAAAATAAAACATGGATTAGTTAGATTAAAAACAAAAGAAGGAAGGTATGTAGAAGAGGATAAAGGTGATAAAGGTCTAGCTGACTGCCTCAATTAATATTTTTGTTCAGTATTTACAGATGAAAATCAAGGAAAGGGACCTAGGAAAGAGGACAAATGAGTCACTAATTACATGTGAGTTTACAGAGGAAGAGGTTCTATTTCAACTGTTAAAAGTAAAGACAAATAAGTCAATGGGACCTGATGGAATGCACCCAAAGTTATTAAAAGAGCTTAGTGGTGTACTAGCAAAACCATTAACAGATTTATTTAACCGATCATTGTTAACAGGAGTAGTCCCAGAGGATTGGAAATTAGCGAATGTTGTGCCCATTCACAAGAAATGTAGTAGAGAGGAGTATACTACTATAACTATAGGCCAGCAAGCCTTACTTCAGTAGTGGGGAAAGTAATGGAAACCATGTTAAAGGATAGGATTGTTGAACATCTAAAAACACATGTATTTCAAGATCAACATGGGTTTACTTCAGGGAGATCATGCCAAACTAATCGTATTGATTTTTTTGATTGGGTAACTAAAATGATAGATCAGGGTGGTGCAGTAGACATTGCTTACCTAGATTTCAGTAAGGCTGCACATAGAAGGCTTATCAATAAATTGCAATCTTTAAGTTTGGATCCCAATATTGTTGAATGGGTAAGGCAGTGGCTGAGTGACAGGCAACAGAGGGTTGTAGTCAATGGAGTATATTCGAAGCTTGGGCTTGTCACCAGTGGGTACCTCAGGTATCTGTACTTGGACCCATTCTCTTTAATATTTTTATTAGTGATATTCAGAAGGTTTTGATGGTAAGGTATGTCGTTTTGCTGATGATACTAAGATATGTAACAGGGTTGATGTTCCAGGAGGGATAAGCCAAATGGCAAATGATTGAGGTAAACTAGAAAAATGGTCAGAATTGTGGCAACTGACATTTAAAGTGGATAAGTGCAAAGTGCGAAATAATGCATCTTGGACGTAAAAACCCAAGGGCAGAGTACAGAATATTTGATAGAGTCCTAACCTCAACATCTGAGGAAAGGGATTTAGGGGTGATTATTTCTAATGACTTAAAGGTAGGCAGACAATGTAATAGAGCAGCAGGAAATGCTAGTAGAATGCTTGGTTGTATAGAGAGAGGTATTAGCAGTAGAAAGAGGGAAGTGCTCATGCCATTGTACAGAACACTGGTGAGACCTCACTTGGAGTATTGTACACAGTACTGGAGACCGTATCTTCAGAAGGATATTGATACCTTAGAGAGGGTTCAGAGAAGGGCTACTAAACTGGTTCATGGATTGCGGGATAAAACTTACCAGGAAAGGTTAAAGGATCTTAACATGTATAGCTTGGAGGAAAGACGAGACAGGGGGGATATGATAGAAACATTTAAATACATAAAGGGAATCAACACAGTAAAGGAGGAGACTATATTTAAAAGAAGAAAAACTACCACAACAAGAGGACATAGTCTTAAATTAGAGGGACAAATGTTTAAAAATAATATCAGGAAGTATTACTTTACTGAGAGGGTAGTGGGTGCATGGAATAGCCTTCCAGCTGAAGTGGTAGAGGTTAAAACAGTAAAGGGATTTAAGCATGCGTGGGATAGGCATAAGGCTATCCTAACTATAAGATAAGACTAGGGATTAATGAAAGTATTTAGAAAATTGGGCAGACTATATGGGCCGAATGGTTCTTATCTGCCGTCACATTCTATGTTTCTATGTTTCTAAAACTATGAAAAAAATGGCTTTCTTATAGAGACATTTAGAGTATAGTAACCCCCCTTTTTTTCTCCCTCTTTTATTCTCTATGTAATGTAAACACGTTTTTGCTTATATTATAGACACTAACTAAAGAAATTATGTATTCTTTATTGTCTCTCTTTCACTTACATAAAACCTCATACAGAATATATAAGTATGGATATTCCTCCTCTATAAAGGAGTTATTGCTCAGATAAGTTAATATAAAATTATTCAGGAAAAACAAGAGAAAGGGAGAATGAGAAAGATGAAAGGGCAATGTCAAAGGAAACGAAAGAAAGAGAAAGATGAAAGTTAGAAGAGGGGGTAAAAGAAGGAAAACAGCAGAGAACATTATTTATTGAGATACCCGAACTATACAGTATATGGGTAATATATATATTCCTAGCTATATATTTGTTTTCCCCCTTTTTTTTTTTTTTGCTTTGCTTTGTTCTTTTCTTCTATTTCTATACTATGTCATTTTTATACACATGTTCTTTTCTGTATTTAAGAGAAGTGAATCCTCTCTTAAATAGGGAAACATGAGTCTAAAACCTGTTGGACTGACATTCTTTCTCTTGAGCAGTATAGAAATCAGTAACATCTCTTGGTTAGAAAGGAATTCTACTCTTCTAGCCAGGTAACATGTATGCAGAATGTTTATATTAACATTAACAATCATTTCCTCTCTCTGTCCTTAGAAATATCCACTGAAGTATAACATTGGGAGCTGCATAGTCAACAATGGACCTTCTGCACCGGTTGTGTATGACTATGGAAATGCTGAAAAGGCAGCCAATTACTATTCTCCAACTGGAAGAGGTAAGGCAATATTTATTTATATATAAATTTGAACCCTAAATCAGGACAACCATGTGTGTACATACTATGTCCTCCTTCTTTCTCATTCTGCAGGCGAGTTTACTGCCGGCTTTGTCCAGTTTCGAGTTTTTAACAATGAAAGAGCAGCATTGGCTCTGTGCCCAGGAATGAAGGTGACAGGATGCAATCCTGAACATGTAAGTATGGACACTTTCTGCCTCTTCTAAAGCATCTACAGGCATGAATAGTACAGGTCCAAACATGGGCAGGAGAAGTGAGGGGTAGTCCCATGTCTCAAGCTTTCACAGGCACTCTTAAATGTGGACACAATCGAGGAGCTTGCACAGTGCTATCTCTGGGAGCCAGGCACCTCTCAATGCCCAGCAATCAGAGACAGACGTGTTGGCTATGCGGTGGGCAGAGTTACTGATAGCAAGCTCATATTCTGACACCTGTTGCCTCTCTTTGTGAGCAGCAAGCTAAGGAGATCAACACTATATACAGAGACAAAATCATTTGCAGGGACAACATCTTATTATAGGCAGAGACAACATCCTATTAGAAATCATCTATCATTTTATCTTGGTTTAAGCTAAGGATAAGAAGATAACATAAAATTATAATTGTGTGTATTAGTCTTTATCTAATGATGTGTATCTCTGTGTGTATGTCTCTAGATGTCTACTAGTGTATGACAATGTGAGTGGTAGTGTATGTCTTCATGAGTGATTTTGTGCATCCTTGTGTTTTGTGTATCTATGTGTCTGTGCATTTGTGTACTTACATATATCTAAGTATATGTTCTAGTATGTGATGTGTTGCTAATTAAATTGATATGAGTGACAAGTAGTGATGTCCCGAACGGTTCGCCGAACGGTTCGCCACGGACTCATCATTGAGTAAACTTTGACCCTGTACCTCACAGTCAGCAGACACATTTCAGCCAATCAGCAGCAGACCCTCCCTCCCAGACCCTCCCACCTCCTGGACAGCATCCATTTTACATTCATTGTGAAGCTGCATTCTTGGTGAGCTGTCCAGGAGGTGGGAGGGTCTGGGAGGGAGGGTCTGCTGCTGATTGGCTGGAATGTGTCTGCTGACTGTGAGGTACAGGGTCAAAGTTTACTCAATGATGAGTCCGTGGCGAACCGTTCGTGGTGAACCGTTCGGGACATCACTAGTGACAAGCTGTACATTGATTGTGCATGTTTCATAATTAGATGTTTGCAAATGGCTGCTAATGTATGTGTGATAAATTATATATGCAGAACTTCCCTCAGGAATGTAGTTCTTTTGTAAGAAGCCAGTTTAAGGAAGAAATCCTGCTAGAGCACATATCCCCAATATGTGGTCAATGTAGGGATATATATTTTTCTCAGACTGGACCACACTGCAGAGCACCCACACAGGGGGGCTTTTTAATTAGAGCACTGCTGGTTCCCTTTGAACACTTACTGCAGTGACAGAAGGGTGTAATGCTTGATCATTGATCATTTCCTCCATAAGTACAACATACCATACAGGAGCCAAGAAAAGCCTGGAACTTGCACTAGCACTCTCCCCCTAGACCCCAGGGAAAACACCCTCTTGCAGAAAGTGAGAAAGAAAACAGAAGTGTAGCTAAAACATCTATATTATTTGACATGATTGTGACTTGTACTCTGTGTGCGTGTGTCTGGTTGGCATTGTGTGTACGTGTGTTTGTACTTGACTGTGTGTATATGTATGGCTTGGTTCTGTGTACCGTGTGTCTTTCTAGTCAGGTGTATATGTGTGTGTCTGACTATGTGTGTATGAGTGTTACATATTTGACTACATTGAAAGAAAGACTAAAGTCCATCAAGTTCTACGTTAAAGCCCATTATTTTATGCTGTTAATCCAAAATAAAGTAAACACAAACAATTGTAGCTAGATCTAATTCTGTCACAAAAAGGGAAAACATCCTTCTTGACTCCATAATGGCAGATTTCTCCTTGGATCAACAAACTGCTTACATACATATCATTTATATATTTCATGTGTATGTAAGTAAGTAGGTGTCTGGCTGTTGGGTGTGTGTGTATATACATATATATTGAAGTGTATAGTGGGGTGGCCCTGCCACAATTTTTTTAATAGGGTCTCAAAATTTCTCCCTCCATGTGTGTGATTGTGTGCACAAAGGTGGCCTCACAATTCTGTTATTAAGGACACCTCAAGTAATATGGACAAACCTAAAACAGCATGTACGAAATGGGGAGATTTTGTGGACATGCATAATACACCAATCTAGTAGAATTAATAAATCTTTAGCTCAAATCATGACATTGATTGCCATTCATTAATGGCACTAATTAGGGATTGTTAGAAACCTATCCACACACATTTCTCTGTTTTTGAGCACTGGGAATAACACAAAGTAATAATTTCCCTAAATACCTCAAAATAAATTATATCCTCTTTACAGTTACTGACAGTGCAAAGTGCAGATCGTTTTATTCCCTATCGGAGGGTAGAACACTGAAATTGGTATCCTGTAAATCCAGGGACACAGTTTGTCCAAGAGGCCTGTCTAAATTCTGCTTGAGTCCATTTATTCCAATATATATTTTACTAATCAGAAAAAGATCACTATACGCTAATGCCCCCCGTTATGAAAAAATAAAATATAAATTCTAGAAAAGATAATTAGCACAGCATGGATTTGATGATGGAATGTTTCAGCATATTTAAAAAAAACTTTTACAATTTGTTGATTTTTTTTTTTTATTACTACAAATAAATTGAGTAGGCATTAGAACAAGTCATTTTCCCTTGCAGACCATCTCAAAGGATGTTATCAGTCTGTAACTTTATTTCTTTTAGCACTGTATTGGAGGAGGAGGCTTTTTCCCAGAAGGGAATCCCATCCAATGTGGAGATTTTGCTGCCTATGACTGGAGCGGATATGGGACACACAGAGATTCGAGTGCCAGCAAGGAGATAACTGAGGCAGCCGTCCTGCTCTTTTACCGCTAATTGGAAATTTGCATGTCACTTTAAACACTTTTTGAAATAAAGAAATATTAATGAACGTTTTATACAATTTTCTGAGTTTTGCTCATAGAGTAGTATTGCTGAACACCACTGTTAGAATGGGTAAATACTTATACTCAAATAAAAAAATCAAGATGAAGAAAAAAGGATTATCTCCCATCAAGGGTACCATATCATCAGTGTGTCTGCGAATCAACTGTTCTCTTGTGCATAAACATAAAAAGAAAAAACCATAGTGTGCACCTTTACACGTATAATAACTCTAATAAAGATCACACTTTCAGAATATCAGTAGGTAACACAGCACATCACCATAAGATGGTATACCAAGTCTTGGGTCAAAATGCTGCAGTGTTCCTTTTTTTCTAATAAATGTGCTGGGAGCTAATGGACAGTCTGGTTTAGCACCCTTGGCTTATGTGGATTGAGTGCGGTTCCTATTGGTATATGGCATTAACATGGTATAGAACACAGTTCCATTTTTCACACTCAATAAAATTCTCAAGGGTTAAAGCAGCAAAACTGCTTCATTAAGCTAAAGTTGTTTTGGCACCTATAGTGTACCTATAAAAGTTTTACAAGCATACAGGTACATGCTATGTTGTGCACAAGAGAACAATTTGATTGCATAGTTCCCTTAATGGAATATATGCAGTTTTTTCTTAATTTCTCTGAGTACATTAATTAACTCATTCAAAAGCTACTATTTACCATTATCTGTAGAAGTTTAGAAGATTTTAAGGGATCGTATATCATCTACATATTATTGTGTATAAAACAGTAATTGCTCTTTTACATTAAATTCTCACTGCCAATTTTAAAAGGCGTTTGGTATTGTTATACATTGGTGTATATTTCTCATTACATTCTGATATGCAATTCCAATAAAAAATAAAGTTGAAAATATCAATAGAAATGCCTATGTCATAATGTAGGAAAATTATTATTAAACTGATTTCTATATACCATCATTGAAAATAAGTCATGTATGGATGTAGCAGAGAATGTGATGCAAATAATAATAAAAGAGCCTACTCCAAATATCCCCCAATAATGAGAGACATCGAATTTGGATGAAACAGGCCACAGCATTTATTAAACATAAGACTGTAGGACTCATCAAACCTTTATTAACTTTATCATTTAATTATAACCAGAGATTATAACCAGAAATAGCATCCGACAACCCCCATATAGGCATTGTCCCAAGATCATTACCCCCCAGGTGAATAACTAGGATGCTCGGCGCACCCAGAAGGCGGGAAAGCTGAACCAGCTCTGAAAGGAGCCGAACTCATTTCATATGTCTGACGCCAAACCAACTAACCTCTGCTTCAGAAGTCGTACAAGAGCTCACCTCCACACACCTCCTGGCCCAAAATACACATGAGTGCCCCATCACCCAGACCCTGGGTGAAGTTGCACCTGCGGAGAGAAACATCAATTCAGGAGGCAGAAAGGACGAACATATGAAACAAAATACCCAGATGCCCACCTACCTACCCTCTGAACCGCTTACATTGGCATACCCAGCCTAGAAGCCTCTGTGGCAGCACCAATCTGAAAGGAATGCCCACAATATTCCTTGCTGTCAATCCCCAGGACCTCCAGCCCTGAGTGAAAGGCCCAAATAAACTGGAAATGAGAAAGAAAGCTCCCATCCTCATGTACCAAAAGAGGGCCTGTGGATACTGGGCCCAGCTCACAATACTCCGTAAAGGAAGAAACGGGGCAAATAGCTGAACCCGGGCCAGCACCCAAGTGAGGCCATTTACTCTTCCCGAGGACATCTGTCTTCGAGCGTCAGATCTTAAATGTAATTGATTCGCAGCACAGTGAACATCGGCAAACACCCCACCACTACAGCGCTACTAGGACTCACCAATTCCCCAATTCACATTGCTCCCAAAAATGCCAGGGAATAGGCCAACACGAATAGACGGGCCTCAAAAACAGAGTAACAGGCCTGAGGAAGCACACCACACAATCTTGTCAACAGGAAGTCTTACCCTCTGACTTCCAGTGATTCAAGAGCTGCAAAAGCCCTGCGAGGCGGGCAACCGGGGTACCAAAACCACCCTGATCATGCTCCCATGCGTCCTATTCACACCACACCTTACTGTATCGAGTTAATGTGGCGCTGGAGACTGATCCACGGACCAATTCCATCAATCTTCCAGACCAAGCGACCACATCTCCACCGGGCACGGAGCCCCTACAGATCTGCCTGTGGAGTGACTGCCCGAAATTCCGACCACTGCGAATGAGAAAGAGCATCAGCCATTACATTGTGAATGCCAGATATATGCTCAGCCCTACAATACATGTTTAGACATGAACATCAGAGCACCAATCGCCAAAGCAAGCAAACTACTGGAGGGGAGGAAGCTGTCAGTCGATAAATAGCTTGAACCACTCCCAGATTGTCACAGTGAAAAACAACCCATCTATCCTGAAACTGGAACCCCAAACCCCCACCGCCACCAGAATGGGGAAGAGCTCTAGGAAATCCAGATTCTTAGTGAGGCCAGATTCTTAGTGAGGCCAAGAGGAAGCACACCAACTAGAGCCTAGAGCCCCAAACCCCACCAAACCTGCCGCATCTCTAAAGAAGTGTAGAGCCGTGTTAGAGACTTCAGACACTTGCCAATAGGACCGGCCATTATAGGCAGCAAGGAAGGAATCCCAGACTGCCAGATCTTCCCGCAGAGGCCGAGTCACCATGATCCTACAGGCCAAATTCAGCTTGCCCAGCAGCGACTGCAGGCTCCACAGCTGGATCATACGCAGCTTACCACCACAAACCATGAATCTTATCCAAAGGCAAACAGCATTCCCCCACCATAGAATCAATATCAATGTCCAAGAAGCTGAAACACCGTTTTGTCATGGACAAATGGGAATGCCAAAGCATCGAAAAATATCCCCCAAACAGCAGCAGCGCACAGGCTGGCGAATCGGCAGGACCTACACAAAGAAAGTCATTAAGGTAAAGCAGCAGGGAGTCCCGGCCTCCCTCCTAACCACACACTCCAAGAATGTGCTGAAGCACTCAAAGTAGAAATAGGATATGGAACAACCCATTGGGAGGCACATATCCACATAGTACATGTTTTCAAAAACACAACCCAGAAGATGATGACATTCTAGATGCACTGGCAGCAAATGGAAAGCCAACAAGGCTGACTGCCGCATCAAAGGACGCCTAGGACACCCGGCAGAGTTCTGAAGAGATGTCATCATTCACCGAACCCCTGCGAGGGGATGATAAATAATAAATCAAACATTATTTTCCCTGCTCCTTTTTGGGCACCATGCCCAAGGGGGAGACCCGCAAGTCCGGTAACAAGGGGTCGCTAAAGGGACCCGCCATGCGACCCAGAGACACTTCCTTGTTAAGCTTCTCCTAACCACATGTGGGAAATCCCGAATCGACCTAAGGTTCCAAACCAGCAGTGAAGGGAGGCGACAAGTAAAAGGAATCCAGAAACCGTGCTCAAAGCCAAGAACTTCGGCAGCCCAACGGTTCCTAACACTGGTGAGCCACGGCAGCATCGCGTTTACAACCATCGGCGTCGTCGCCTTTAGACCCCAGATCCCCTTTCTCACTAACTTTTCCCCACTTGAAACATCAGGAGATGGGATGAGCACCCCCTCAGGTGGAGCATTCATGCTTGAAATGGCACGATGCTCCCCATTTGCAATGACTGTCATTACATTTCCAACAACAGCCTGGCCTCTGTTGCGCAGGACCCCCAGGAAAGGACCTACCAGGACCCCCAGGAAAGGATGAGAAACCACCCTGCTGAGGCACCGGGCGGGTTATAATGGAGAGCCAGAGGCCAATGTCCATCTGATCCCAGGAAATTAAGGGGCGCACCGCCAACCGTTGGCCGAATTACTTGTTATACTTCCACCACACCAGTCCACCATAGGTACGACAAGAGTTCCAAATGGTGTCCTGGTAGCAGAACAATGCAGAGCACTTATGCTAAACCTTTTCCCAAATGACACTAGCCAGTATGGAAAATCCAATTTCTGAATGTCTTGGGGATCTTTTGGTAGCTGTATTTTTCTTTGTCTTTTTCTGATTCCTTGCTGTCCTTCTCCACCAGCGGAGGAGCCTCCTCCATTGGCAGGAGGGAGAAAATCTCGACAAATTCTCCCCTCCAAATTTTTTCCCTAACTTCCTGCTTCAGAGGCCCGGACCAACACATATAAGCGGATCCCCGCGCCACATCAGAGGATCACCCATCGCCGGGGAAACCTCCATGACAGAAGGTGTGGTGGTACCCAACACCACAGAAGGAATACCAACAGCAACACTAAGCATGGGCGAGGGGAACCCCACGACCCCCCTGAACCGCCTGTACCTCTTATAGCTGCTGAGCAGGGGGGCCAAACCGACAAAAGCTGACAATCCAAAAGGGAATCCCTGCATGCTTGCGCCCCCTGTTCCCACTGATAAAAAAAAACCTAAGACCCGTCAGGAATCCCCCCAGCGAAGGACTGACTGCAATGAAGAAACAGTACCGTACTCACCACCCGATGCCCGAAGGCCCGGAATTGATGAAGATCCAGACAGGAGTGAGGTAAGTCCACCTTCACCAGTATTAAGCCTTGCAATAGTTCGAGGTGCCACCTGCTGGGCAGGGCACCTCTTTTCACAGTGCAGGTAACCAGCATTCTAAGCATGGTTCTGCACTTTAGCATTTCATTCTGTGATCTCTTTTTCCTCTTCGAAGTCTAGATCATTATCAGAATAGTAGAGTCCTTTATACTGTCTAGTTAGCTCACACTTATCTCTTTAGATTTGTGGACCAGCTCAAGATAGAGCATTATAGAAACGCTGAGCCACCTCTCACTATACCCTTAACAACCATAGACTGCAGACTAATATTTAAGCAAGTCCAAAGGGTGAAATACAGGGCTGCTTTATGAACATTGAGTTCCAACAGCAATATTATTGCAATATCGCTTCAATATCGCTTTACAGTGTTGCAATCAGCTAATACAGGTGGCTTTGTTATAACAAATTCACATAATTACATCATTTTTCTCTACTACGTATCAAGAGATTATTTGGACTAAACATTTATTTATTTTTCCTTATCTCTTTCTAATAGAGAGTTTATTAGCTATCTATAGAGTAGTTTATTCTGATATCTATTACCTAGACCCCTTTACTCACCTATATACTAAGATCCTATTCCAGCTATAGACCATATCTATTAAAGTATAAACTCTTGTTTACTCTTTTAATTAGAGTAAATAGAGGTTTAGCCATTTGGCTTTGGATAACTCCTTTTGACCTTTCATTTCTTTGATCTATTTATGGGTCAAGATACACATTTGAATACCATTGTAATTTTGTAATTATTTATTTTAAGATTATTTTCCAGTTGACATCCGCTGGCGGAGTTTGTACTCTGGCAAGTGAATTGTTATAACTTTTTCTCTATACATTACGCGTCAGGCCCCAAGATACCACTGGAGTGTCTGCCTAGTGTCGCAGTCTTTGAATAGGGAGTTCAGAATTCACAAACCTCTCTATCCTATTTACTGCTTCTGTGAAATGTATAAAACATGCACCAAAAAATAAAGAATTAAAAAAATAAAAATAAAAATGAAGCTGCGTACCCATGTTATATAAAAATTTCACTCAGTAACCTAATCACTTGTTTTTTTTGTACTCTACTTATTTTTTTGAGGTCATTCTCCCAAATGTATATTTTTTACACATATTGTAATCTTGTGTGATAGCTGCTTGTGTATGTATTCTTTGAAGCGTCTGTCTACACCTTGGTTTTAATCCCTTATTGAAGCCTTTCCTATTTATTACTTAATTTGAGATTTTCTAATTCCACTCCATTTAAAGGGTTACTTTTCTAAAAGTGAGGCAGACAT